CTAATTTGTTGAGATAGTGAATTGGTGGGTTTTTGTTAAATGTGAGCCAAAATCATCACAATTAAAAGAACCAAAGACTTAAACTACTTCAGTCTGTGTGCATTGAATTTATTTAATACACGAGTTTCACAATTTGAGTTGAATTACTGAATAAATGAACTTTTCCACGACATTCTAATTTATTGAGATGCACCTGTAATTGACCATTTTCAGGGTAGACAGGCCTATTATTTCATTTTACGTGAATAAAAATGAGGGCCAGACAGTCAGTTCAGTGGGTTGTTGCTACTGTTGTGTACCTGGATGTCAACCATTTATTTGAAATGCATGTTTAAAAAAATAAATATAATAATCAAATTAATGTATTGTGTAATTAATACCGAATATAGTCCATACAATGATTTATGTTTACAAGTTATAAAAGTGACTTTTTAACAGCTTAATCTTTGTGAATTACACCAAATACACCAAATAATGTTCTTTTTAGCAGCATCATATGACCCCTTTAACACAAGGGACTTTACACTTTATGCTACTTTTTTTTTTTAAAGAGTACTAGTTACAGAAATATTATTCTTTAAAAGAATATATTTTGACGAATATAAGTGTGAACTCATTTGTATACTATTTACAATTAAATGAAAGTCTAATGGTTTCAACTTTAAATCTAAAAATAAATAACAGTTAATTTTAAATCAAGTGCTTCACATGTGCTTTAATATGTTAGTCTACATATTAAGTGTATTTATTTAAAGCACAACAAAAGATTAAAATAATTTAAAATGTACTTTAAAATTATTTTTACATTGCAAAGTGCACTTTAAGTTTAAGTGTTAAGAAACAAAAATGTTCATTAACTTTATTTCATCTGCAAGCAGACTAGTTTTTTTTAAACATACTTTTAAGATTTTAAGTATATTTAGTAGTCTGTCCCCTCTGTTCCCAAACATGTTCTTGTTTTTGAAATCATATAGCTGTTGACTACTCACCAGCCAAACTCTCCTATCACATCCTATAAGTAAATTTTGCTTGTGTGGAGATTGAGAATGGACTCCGTTTCCCATCGGTCATTGCGGCTGGTAACCTTCGACAGCCGCTCCAGTGAAAACAAGCCGATCAGCTGATTTGACCTGGCAACAACATTTACCCGAATCTACCGGGGAGGGGAATCATTTTACAAGCTGGTGGGGTAAAACAGTTATCTTGACATCAACCGGCTTATTAATTTGTGTTTAACAAAGGGTCGTTGTCGCGTGCGATGTTTCGGGAATTCAGCAGCTTGTTTGATGAAAACTGCGGTGTGATTCTGGCTCGAAATCAGCTTGTTTTGTTCGGTCAAAGCTGTGTTGTTGGGTGAACATACTTTAAGGACAGTCTGTACGATACTAAACAGTTATTAATTCAGCTGCATTAGTCATATTTCTAACCCCCTAGTATTAGTAGTCTTTGAAATTTGAGGTGTTTTTACAGACACGTATGCTAAGCTCAGATAGCTTGAGTACGTTAACAAAGCCCAGGACGATAACAACACCCGAATGTAGCTGTTTTCTTAGTGGTTACATGTGCCAATAAATACATGTCGGTGGTTGTTGTTTGTAAGTTTAGACACTTTAGACAGCTTGATCACTTTAAAATCAACCAGAAAGCTAGACAAGTCTGACCTAGTGCCAGTGCTATACGGATGTCAACTGATCTATTTATAGTTCATATTGAATATTTGATTTTAAGCCAGTGTCATAATCTGACACATCACATTTTGAATTCCAATGAAATTCAAGGCAAACGAGTAAGGTATTTTGTTTAAGATCTCAAATGCATCATATTTGAGGCATTATATATCATCTGTCTTGTTGGTCTCTGCTGTATTTTGGTTCAACTTTGAGGAATATCTAGTCAGTGTATTTACAGAGGGATTTTAGTACTTTAAATTCGGTTGCTCCCGTTCGGTTCGCTACCTCGCTGTTATATTTAGACTTATAATGAACAGTCAGGGCTCGTCGGCGGAGAAGGGGGTGAACGGCGTCCTGGTTTGTCAGGAGAGTTACGCCTGCGGTGGCTCTGACGAGGCCGCCTTCGAGTGCGACGAATGCGGCAGCCTGCAGTGCATCCGCTGCGAGCTGGAGCTCCACCGTCAGGAGCGCATGAGGAACCACGACAGGATCCGGATCTCACCTGGCCACGTACCTTACTGCGATTCATGTAAAGGGGACGGGGGCGTTGCGAACGGGGGTCGGCTGAGAGCAGTGGTCCGCTGTCAGGGATGTAAAATCAACCTGTGTTTAGACTGTCAAAAACGGACTCACAGTGGGGTCAGTAAAAGAAAGCACCCTCTCACTGCCTACCCTCCCTCGAAACCCGCGGAGAAGAACTGCAGCACTGGAGATGAACAGCTGGATGCGTTGAAAGCTAAACTGGAGCAAGTCACCAGCTTTCTTCTAGTGGATGAAAAGGAAGATATGCAGGTAAGTCAACTTATGCAATTTTTGTGCTGTACAAGTACAACTCTTTCCCTCTTTATACGGCAGTTAGTTCTGGTCCTCAAATTTGATTGGCTGAGAGGCGTTAAACGAGTACTGATGGAGCTAGAGCCTCTTTTTTTAGAAAGTAGAAAAACGGATTAGTGTGATTTTTATCTGTATTGTAGATAGTTACTTTTTCGATTTTCAGAATTTGAATTTTTAGAATGGAGTTTTTAATTGAATATTATAACGAATGAAACAGATTCATGATCGCTCCGAGCAAGTTTTCTCTCGCTAGTCAGGTGGAGTGGAAAGTGGGAAACACGGAGTGGTTCTGGAGTGGAGTGATCAATGAACGCCTTGAGCTGGAAGGGAATTCACTGTCGATCTGCTCCACTCAATTATGTTGTTCCAGACCAGCTTTTAGCCTGTACGTTGCATTTTGAAAGGCAAAGCGCGATTCTTTTTGAACTACATGTTGGAAGAAAATTACTAATAAATCACCAAATTTTGTCTTAAAATTAAGGTACTGAGCATAAACTTTTTTTATGCAACCGTTGTAAAAAAAACAAACAATGTGACACAAGAAAAATGTGTAATATTGAGTGAGGTGAGACTCATTATTAAACAATATATTTATTTCCACAACCTGAACAGGTCAAGGATGAGGAGGAGTTTGTTAGGAAATTAGGCTGTAGGCCCGAGGAGCTCTTGAAGGTGGTGTCCATTTTCGGCAACACTGGAGAAGGCAAATCTCACACCCTCAATCACACTTTTTTTTTGGGTCGTGAAGTTTTCAGGACATCTCCAACCCAGGAATCCTGCACCGTCGGGGTGTGGGGAGCACTGGACCCTCTTCATAAGGTGGTGATTGTTGACACAGAGGGACTTCTGGGGGCAGGAACTAACCAAGGACAGCGAACCCGCCTCCTCCTGAAGGTGCTCGCAGTCTCCGATCTGGTCATCTATCGGACACATGCTGACCGGCTACATGATGATCTTTTCAAGTTTCTTGGAGATGCATCAGATGCGTATCTAAAGCATTTCACGAAGGAGCTGAAAGCCACAACTGCACGTTGTGGTTTGGACGTGCCCCTTTCAACTCTGGGTCCTGCCGTTATAATCTTCCATGAGACCGTCCACACCAAGTTATTAGGCTCAGGTCAGTTTACTAAGTTTTGGATGTTTTCCATTTTGCTGTCCTTCTCACCCAACAAGTTAGGAATGACTTTGAAATAGATAAGGTAAGAAGAAATAATGAATGCATAATACTTCTCTTTCACACCCCCTGTAGACAAGCCATCAGAATCAGCCGAGCGGCTTCTTCAGGAACGTTTCCGAAAGCTTGGCCTCTTTCCGGAAGCATTCAGCTCTATTCAGTACCGGGGCACTCGAACCCACAACCCCCCGACTGACTTCAGCGGTCTGCTGCGCAGCGTGGAGCAGCAGTTAGACAACAACACTACACGATCTCCACGGTCTGCTGGTGTCATCTACAAAGCCTTGCAGGTATTTTATTTTTTTTTGTCATTGATAAGCTCAATAACACTTTTAGCTTATCGATGACATGAAAGTGTGGAAGTGTGTAAATTGTAATGTACAGTAGTTTGTGTGGCTGATCAAGCTCTTGTTCTCCAGGCTTTGAGTGAGTGCTTTAGTGGAGAGATTCCTGATGAGCATCTGGCAAGCAACTCTTTTTTTCCAGATGAATACTTTACCTGCTCCAGCATCTGCCTCAGCTGTGGGTAAGTCTTCACATCTCAGGAATCACTGCACTTCTGATTTCAAATCTGTTTAGCATTTCTAAAGCAACACTCACATAGAAGTACATACGCTCTCTCTCTACAGTTCAATAGTTTGGGGTCAGTAGTCTCTTAAGTTCACCAAAGCTGCATTCATTTAATCAAAAAAACAGTACAAATGGTAATATTGTGAAATATGATTACATTTTAAAATAACTTTCTTTTTATTGTACCATATTTTAAAATGTAATTTATTCCTGTGATGGCAAAGCTAAATATTCAGCAGCCATTACTCCAAATTTTTTAACATTATACTGTCTTTCACTTTCGATCAGTAGAATGCATCCTTGATGAATAAAAGTTACTATCACTTCTTATCAATTTAACACATCCTTGCTGAATAAAAGTTAATTTCTTTAAAAAAAAAAAAGAAAAAATCTTACTGACCCCAGACTTTTAAATGATTGTTTCTGTTAAATAACATTGTCATATTAGCAATTTGGTTCAAAGTTTTGGTTGTTATTCAGATGGAATCTTTGACTGTTTTTTTATGCCATTTTTATGCGAATTATGAAAAACAAAAATGAAATTAAATA